TCGCGCCACGACCAAAATAATCGCTTCCTCGATCGACCGTCGACCACGACCTTGCGCCATTCCGCCGCGCGACGCGCCGCGTTCGGACTCGTTGTCTCATTCCCTCCGTCTCGCTGAAACCTACGATCAATCACCTCTGGAGATGCCGACATCACCTTACGTCTCTCGAATCAATCAGATTGATGCGGTGCAGTTAGACGAGGAAATCTACAAAGTGCTTAGGAATCAAGCCAGGGAAATCGGCAAGTATCAACAGATAGAGAAGATCGATCGATGGCAACCCGAGATCGACGCGCTCCTCAAATTCTTCATATGGAATTTCTCGCTGCGCCACGGAAAATCGACATTTGGTCAGCAACTGCTCAATTTGCATTACGAAAACATTACAAGCGCAAAGTCCATTCTCTATATGCTTTCAACGATCGGTCCGGCGTATGTACGAGATAAACTCGTGGATAGTGGCGCGAATCGTCGTTTCACCATTTTACTCGATCGTGTCGCGAACGTCTTGAAGCTCTTCGAGTTTATAAACTTGTTGATCTTTATGCATCGTGGGACGCAGCCTCGTATCGTCGAATATATACTCGGAATCGCGAGTTCTTCCACAACTGTTCACAAACCGAGAAACATCGGCTACTCGTACATGACCAGAGAACTGTTATGGCACGGTTTGATGGAATTGTTTACTACCAGCTTGCCCATGGTCAATTTCCATTACTTAAAGCACACGATGAAGAAGCTATTCACGCGGTCAAAGGCCGTCCACTTACAAGGCATATTACCGACCATGAACTTGTCCACCAAGTGCGCCTATTGCACCGATACACCGATTCTACCGGTACACGCGGGTTGTCAGCATATTTTTTGCTACTACTGTTTGAACGCTCACTTCACCGTGATGGTCGAGTTTCAGTGTCCCGAGTGTAGCACGCGACTCTACGCTACTAGTATGAAAACGTACGAAGCCAGTTCCCCGACCTCCAGCAAACGAGAAATGTCGAGCACGGCATTTTAACGTTCTCCGTCTTATACCAATAAACAAACATTTTGTACATACAGAGATATATATATATACATATACATATACATATACATATATTTCTATTTATACATACGATTGTACATGCATTGTGTTTTATTTTTCTCTTTTTTATTAAAAATACCAATACAAAATTCTCTCTATCTGCTTTCATACAACGTTACGATTTATTCGGTGTTTCCTTCGAAACGAAACGATGATGGATCTGGTATATGATATACTTCTTGCTTATCGGAATAACTGGATTATCGTATAAAAATATCATGCCGCCTTAAAATGTTTTCCGTTTCGTATATTCGCGGCAATATGCGTTACATAGATTGGTCGTTGGTTTATTCATTAAGTAGTTTTACTTGCACGATGGGCGGGCACGTCCATTCATTACCTGCTAACATTCGGATGGACACGTTTGAATTCTTTTCGTCCACTCGATTTCTTCGATATCTCGATTCGGTTGCGCTCTAATCTTGATTGGAATGTTTGCTTATTCTCTACAGTAATAGGTAAGTTGCGCGAGCGTGCGATCGCACCAGCCAGATCGTTCCAACGATTCGATTGATATTCGTTGACAAAAATTGTTCGAAGACTTAAAAAGACGTACCGTGGCTGTACCTTGTACGATCACCTGACGTATATAGTATAGTATAGTATCACCTGACGTAGGTGTAATTAACAACCATATCCCGCTGTAGTACTGAATCCGTTAATCGTAGTAAAAATGTTGTTAGGCACGTCGCTCTTTTCACTTGGCGAAAGAAACTTGGCGAGATCGCATCAGCAAAGTAGACAAGATTAAAACACCTAACGTTTCGAAACAAGACGGAACATGGTATATTTCATTTTATTCGTTAGTCTCCGAAAATATGATTCACCCGGATCGTATTTCATCGATTCTGAGAAACGTTTTACGGCGCACGATTAAATTGCCATCATGATAGGTTTTCACGTTTTTACAAACGAAGCGTCTTTCGAAATACGCATCGTACTATATCGATACTATTATTACACTGCGCGTGGAAACATGCTCCAGAAAGGCATGTTCGGTCAGTCGAATGATCTCGCTGGATTGTTACTGTATGTTCGTCTCTCAATTTCTCTTCTCCTTCGCGAATCTTGTATCCGTATTTCGTTTCGTTATTCTTTCTTTCTTTGCGCACAAATAAAAAAGAAATAAAATTCGTCAGCAAGAAAGGGGTTTCAGTTTTTGCGTATCAGACAGATCGAGGAGGAGAGAAAGAGAAAGAGAAATATGCGTCAAGAAATTTGCCATATGCAACGTGTCAGGAAGAAGACAGGAAATAAGACGAACGATACGACCTGTACCGTGATGTTCGAAGGCTAGGTATCGAATGCTTCGTTGTCGCTTCCTTACCTATCATCGTTTCTTTTTTACCTTTCTTCTTCTTTTCTTCCTTTTAATTCTAATCGTTTTAGCAACTAATTGATCTGCTAAATCCCGCAAAATCAGCTGATGCACGTACCTACATGCACATACGTACGGTACGTATGTGTGTTCATGTGTATATACATATATACATATACCTATATTTCTATATTTTTCTAGATAGGAACATCGAAGAACAGCGTAACGCATCTCTCTAAAAAAAAATGTCGTCGAGCATCGATCGATCGTGTAAGTATCTCGAGCAGCGTAAAAATACAAATAATAGAAAGGACACGAGTGGATTCGCGGTAAAAGGAATCTTGCGGTCATCGATCAAGCTTTTCCTCGGAAACAACAATGATCGTTACGACAAAATCGTTCTGCGACGTCCCATCTCTACCGCGAAAACAAGAACGATAATTCTCCGCTACGAAAGCATGGGATAGGTACACGATTTTTGTTATCCGACCGGTGTAATGATCGGACGAAGAAAATCAAATTCGAATCGAATTTTATCAAAGAAAACGGTTAATGTTCGACACAAACACGAGTAACAGGGACGATCGGGTACAGTCTTGTTACATCACACACATACGCGCGCGCATACACTCGTACGCATAAAGTACACATAGCATGTATTCCTTTTCTAACATTTCGATCATTTTCAAGCATGCGATTTTGCCGCACCAAACAACAATAATTTATGCTTAAAAAGATTTCACAAAAGACTTAGTCAAGAACTATTAACGATAAAATCGTTCGACTCGTTAGACATTCTCGATAAGTTTCATCGAGACGATATTCTGAATATTTTCTTGACACGCGATAAACAATAATTTATATCGCTAGTCGCACCGACAAATCGATCGATCACTTAAATCGCGATAAATTGATATTTGAAGGTGTTTACATCTTTAAATATTGTCGATCGTAGCGAGCAGAGCATGAGCTCGTTGCCGAACGCTTTCATTTCATCCATATACGAGTATACTCAGAAAAAAAGAAAAAAAAAAAGATTTAAAATATTAATAATTTACGTAGAACACCAGTATCTTACTTTCGTAAAACGACTACTGTGTAAACGGACCACAACGTGCAGCTTGTTTTAACAAAAATATTCTCGTTCCCCGTATGTTTATCAAGTACACGGATGTTGAGACAGAAAAGAAAATGAAGAAAAGAAGAGGAATCACGATGCACTCATACGACGACCGATTATTGAAAATAATTTAGCTGCAGAATCGTTGGGCAGGCATTGCACGTTAGCGGTATAGCTGAGTATAGACTCAAATTATAGTTTCAAGGGTAGTTCGGGAAAGTCGTTTCTCCTGTAAAACGATCGATCGTAATACGGTGAAAAAGACACAACTCGAAATACCCTCGAACGCTCAATCGCCCCCTCCGATCCGCTTCGTGGAAAAATCATTCGCATTTGTACGTTCGACGTCTTTCGCGAGTGAATAATAAATACTTTATTACATTGTAAAACTCGAAAACGCGGCTACTGCGAGAAAATCCGAAACTCGCGAAAACCGAGAGAAACATGACCGTGTGCCCTTCTTTTCGCTTTATCTTTACGTGAGTTCGCATTTCCGTCTCGGTTGCCAGCTTAGGTTCTACGTTTCTGCCGAGTTTCGAGCTTAGTCGAGATTAAATATTTTAACTTCCCTAAAGCGACAGGTCGCCGAACGTACGGGATATCCTACGCCCATCGCGCATATCGAGCTTCAAAGCCTCGTTTTTCCGCACTTTGCTATACTAATTGAACCGTTATCGTTAATTTATAGATACTGTATACGCCTATCGTTCAGTCCTATTACGAACTCTTCACCGTTACACAAAAACATATATGATACAACGTGTCGAACGACACTACGACTCCCGGAGCATCGTGTTTCGCGCTCCGTACAAAATAATATGAAAACCATATCGATTCGTCGAATATCGCGCGACCACGATAGAAAGACCATTAGCAACATAAAAAAAAAGCTAACGAAACGAAAGTAGTAACGAGTTTCTTAACCTAAGGCACCTTTCGACCGCGTGAATCGAGGACTGCAGGGAAAAAAATAAAAAAAAAAAGCAAACGGTCCTTGACCACAAAAAGAATCATCCGCCTATTCTTTCGGTGCCTAGAATCGCAAATTAACATACTAATTATAACTTGATCCTACTGTCGAGTCGGCGAAAGGGCTCGCGTGATTTGATTTCGATCTCGATTTCGATTCTCGTTCGAGCATCTTGAAACGCAATCGAGTCTGCGTGCGAACGCGAGGCTAATTTTAAGTACGACGCGGTCCTGTCTAAATTCTTTGTATTCGTTCTCACGAATTTTGCGAGACTCGTGACATGTTTCGTCCCTACTACCATTTGGTATCCAGATTGCATTTCTCCATCGACGACGAGGTCGACGACGTGGTCGTTTTGCGTTCCGCACCAGGAGCAGCGCTACCACAGAATGGACTAGTACGTTTGTTCATTTCTGAAAACGTACAGATGTTCGGGTGAGTATTAAAATTTATTGACGTACGAAATCGCTACCAATGAGACAGCCGTTTACGTACCAGCGATTAATAACATTATTTTACGCCTTGCACCCCAAGCGGTTATCCCGATTTCGCATAGATCTTTTTCCGTCAGAGATGGAAATGTAGCCATGTCCACTTCGTGAGATGTGAACAGGCCTAGCAAACAGAAAATAAGCAACGTATAGAACGATATGAGCGAGCAGGTGAGCAAGCAACACGAAGATGGGATTTACCATAAGCATTGAACGTTAGCGTTAAAACGCGACGTTGTATTATTATTATAAGCGATTTTTAGCCGCCACATTCACGTCAGATCTACGCATTTAACGCTTATAGGAAATCTCACGTTTCCGTGCTTATATCTAGCGTCGAGGCCGATTAACGAGCAAAAGCCAAAAGTTACAGACCCAAAAATTCAGCGAATAATAATTTTACTTACGAATATACTTTTCCAATCCAACGCTAACCAACATGCTGGTTAAGTCGTCGTACCGGTGGGTTGTAATTTTGTTCAAATGCGTGGTGGGCGTATGCTCCATGTAGTTGGAACTTAAGCCGATCTGTCCAACACGGTCTTTACCGGATCCGATTCCAAAGTCAATCTCTCTGCTGAATACCGGCGTCGTTGGTTCCTTCCATAAATCAGATGGATGGGAGGTGGTAGATTCCTGCGGCTAAAAGGAACTTGCCAATATTGTTCTCGACTCGCCGATTTGTATCGACACCTAATGATGACACTTTGGTTAAAAGAGGTACGCTTACCTTCTTTATGTCGCTCGTATTTATGGGAGGAATGGATTGACTGAGTCCGTAGCCGGACCAAGCGGAAGTAGGAACACGATAATCGTTGGTACTTGGTTTCCCTTGAATCACTTTCGCCGCTAGTATCTTTTTCTGCTCGTAATCGAAGGGAACGAGATTCTGTTGCACAGCCATTTCCAGCGATTTCTTCTCACAACCCGGCGCACGACGATCGGGTACCGTAATATCGGACAACATGCTGGATAAATCTGTGGAACGAAAAAGTTCAGTCCAGAATGATAATCTGCTGTCAATTTCAAGGGGGGCGTTTGCCGAGTACTCACCTATATTATGACTACTCTCGATAGGATTGACCGGAGATATGTTACGCGGACTGATAGCTGGACTAGATAGAGAACTGGAAACGCTGCTCAAC